AAGAACCAGAAGGACACATAACAGCGGGTCACAGGCTCAAAGTGGAACTTCATTGAGGAAGGGTTGGAAACTGTCATTGGGGAGAGAAAAAACTTTCCAGATGATCAGAGGAAAAGGAAAACCCCACAGCTTCAAGGAGTGGATTTTTAATGCCATGTTTCTTTACATACGAGTGTTAATCATTAACAGCGACTCCTGCCAGAGACCATAAGGACGGAGAAGGTCCAGAAGGCAAATGAGATACCAGGACTTCGACCTCCAGGGAATCGATTTAATCTGATACTGTGCTGGGTCAGAACTGGCTGGCTCGGGGATGATGGCTTTTCCCTGATAGGAAGCACAGGCTTCAGTCCATATCAGGGTTGGGAACAGGTGTTAGAGGTTAGGCACAAAGGATCTCTCATATCCATGCTTTGTTAAGGTTTTCATAGCGTTTGAAAATTATCTGGGAATTTCTGATACAGGCTGGGCTACCATGTTTTTCCTCAAGACTCCTGGATGGAGAAGGGTAAGAGAGTGGGGTTCAGATGCTAACCTCCAAAACATGCTCTCAGCCAATTACCCTGGCCCTGCCCAAGCCAAGACAGATCCCTTTATATCACAGCCTCTGAAAAGCCAGGGCATGGAGAAACAATTCAAGATGGGTGTATCCAACCTGCCTTAACACTCCTCCTCGTCCCACAAACCCAGATCTCAGCTCAGATTTGGAAATTCAGAGGTGTGTGCACCAAACTTCTTAAGAGGCAAACGCTGATTACAGTTGCACCACCTCAGAGCCAGGATTCTGAGTTAAACTGGGTCAGGCCAGGTCAATTTGGAAAGGAAGCCTCCAGGAAAGGCTGCATGCTTTGGAGGAAGGGTGCCAGCATAAGGCATTCCCCTACCCTCTTAAATCAGTGCTAACTTCAGTGGCCCAGAAGGTGCTCTCCCTTTCAAATGAGACCAGAAATGTCTGCTTGCCTCCTCAAGTGCATGCTAAAGGTACACAGGATCCCCCCCAACACACACACCCAATGTCCTGCCTAGGTTTCAGTGCCTCCCTTGAACTTGCCCACCTCACTGCAAGTCAGCTGGTCCCGATGCATTTTCCCACGTGGGTGTACGAGGCTATCAGCCTCTGGAGGATGAGAATCAGAAGCCGGTAGAGTATCCAGATGGTGGAGTTGAGGATGCAAACCTATCCACTGTACTGTGGGCATGCACCCCTATGAGAATCTACTATAGTCTCCCAATGGGAGGATTTTTGGCTGCACAATTCATGATGATGCGGGACTGCTCTAAGGCTTTCCCTCTAACTTGTCCCTAGCTAAAAGGCCATAGGAGCAAGCAAGACAAGGGGGGCATCTGATCTCCAAGGCCTCTGGGTTTGGGGCTTACACATAGGATGCCTGCCATGGATTTGGGAGTATCTGAAGCTTGAGGCTGAAAAATCTGAGAGGCAGGATACTTGCCAGGGGCAGCGCCATACAGACCTGAATGACTGAGCTCTGCTCAGCTTATATCTATATCTGTACACATACGTCATTGTTTCAACTAGGATTCCCCTGTTTTTCGGGTCCTGTTTCCTTACCCATTTGCAGTGGTTACATTTCAATGTGGAAGAAGCAATTTTTGTGCAGTCACCTCTGGGGCAAGGTATTTCAGTGCTAGGTGAGAGATTTCTGTTAAAAGGGAAAAATAAGATGGTGGAGGGAGATTTGGGGACCCTTCAGGATGAAACGTAAGAGGCGCACAGAAGCCTGTATCAGCAATCCTGATCATGGTGGCACAACAGCCGAATAGGCAAGCTGGATCCCACTCAGGCTTATGCCTCAGTGCCAGAATGAGCTCGAACCAGACAGGATGGTACAGAGAGCAATGGGGGTCATTGCCCATCTCCCCATATCAGGGGTTTATATCAGGTCTGTTCAGCATCCCACATCTCACTCCTGAAGATGGATGGATATGTAAAGCAAGCTGGAGGATCTCTGTCTTCCTTCTTGCAAAACTCATATCTTACTCTGGTGGCTCTACCCTGCTATGGGCCGCAAAGCTCTGTTCCCTGGAGCACCCAAGCCGCCTGTGCTCACCCTTGCTGCTGATTTCCAGCCCCTATGCAGCAAAAGTAAGTACAGGCACAAGAGAATATCAGGGTGGGCTGTGGATGGGATAGACAGCATGGCATAGCTGCGAGCTACACTGGATATTCACAGGCCAGATCCAACCTCTTTGTGGGCTGAAGGTTGCTGACCCTTACCATAAAGATTTGGGACTCTGCTCCATGCTGATGAAATTGTTAAGCAAAGGTAACAACAGCTTATGCTTTCACAGTTCTCATTCTCTGCTGAACTAGCTCAGGCTCTGCCACTCTTTTCCTTTCGTGTTCTCATTCAACTTCAACACTGCTCCCAAACCAGGCTAGATGGCCCAGACGGGAACACAAGATAGAATTTGGGCTCTATTTTCACTTCATCCTTTGGAGGGTACAGAAAACAGTTTAAATAACTTGACTGCTGAGAGCTCAGTGCTTTATGGTGATTTCCCCTTGTATGCCCAGACAGACCAACAAGCTCTCTTGTGATACTTTGGGAAAGAAGCAAAGCAACTGAGTTTGCCCAAGCACAAAGCCCCACAAGATACACCCTCCAACCCACACAGCGATGCTGAGGGTACAGCAATTTGAGTAGCATTTTGCAATATGCCTGCTCACACCTAAGCAAGGTTGATCCTAATGCCTGGGCTCACAGGGCCAAAGTCCCTCTGCAATGAAGAGGGACTCTGATCTAGTTTTCACACATTGTTCTCACCTGAGTGGCTCATGGTGCTGGCAGAGACAAAGGAGCACATGCTCTTTCCCCTGCACTGGGTCCTCCTCCAGGGCAAAGGCTGGTTGATTAGCAAGGGCCCAAGCACAGAGTTTTGCTATATCTGTACCAAGGCTGAGAAGGGCACAGAACCCTCCAGGCAGTAGATCTAATTGTCTTTGGAAAAGTAGACTGAGGCTGGAGACAAACATGAAAGAAAATCAGCTGCACCCGAAGAACCACCTGCCCCATGTCCAAGAGACTTCTGTTTGTTGCGGGGGGTGGAGAAGAGATGCAAAAAGTGAGCAAAGATGAAAACAGGAAACCAGTGAGCACAGTAGGTCTCCATGATAAGGGGAAGGTGTTTCCTGTGTTCAGATCAACAGTCAAAGGGACCCAGATGGGAGACTTCGAAAGATTCAGACCAGGGAGGGGAACTAACACTGGAGATGACAAGAACCTGCACAAATGATAAGCTCAGCAGGAGCTTCAGAAAGCAACGGGCCTTCTGGATTATTGGTCTAGTGCCCTGTGTTTATAGGTAGTTGGTAACCCACAGGATTACCAAATTGCCACTTTGAGCCCTCACCCACAACTGGAAGGAACAATAACTGAAACACCAGAAACATACTACATAACATGCCACAGATAAAAACTGCAGAAACAAGAGCATTGGCAATGTCCTGCCACTGCAACAACAAGAAGATAATTAGATTTTTTGAGCATACAAGAACCTAAGAAAAAGACTACACCCCATGCTACAGAGGAAGGCCCAAAACCCTATAGTTTCTGCCAGTCTGACATAAGGGAACAATGGGAGAGGTATGACTAGTAGTTAAAGCAGGGTGGATTTAAGAGCAAGGGCATCAAGGGTGTATCTGTGGCTCTGCCACTTACCCACTGGGGGACCGGGAAAGCCACACCCTGAATCACACCTTGTTTTGCTCACCTGAAAAGAACGCTAATTGTTCATTAGCACAGGTTTCTCCAGACCATCATAAATGCCTTTAGTATAGGGGCAGGCAAAGTCCAGCCTGCAGGCTAGACTGGGCCCGTGGTGGACTCCACTTCCCAGCAGCCACTGCGGTGGCTGATTTCCATGGAGACCCCAGGAGTGATGGGGCTGTGACAGCGCGGGGACAGCGTTTCCATGCAGACTGGCCCAAGCAGTGCTGGTAGGGCACTGCTGCTCCTGGGGGCTCTGTGGAAACCAGCTGCAGTGGCATGGGCAGGTGCTGCTGGGGCTGCCAGCTGGATCTGCCATTTTGCCCGCTCGTGCTTTAGTGGCTTCTCCAGTGGTGGAGCATAGGGTGGATAAAAATCAATGATTTAAAAAAAAAATAAAAAATAAAAAAATCAATAAATAAAAAGAATCAGATTTTTTATTTCAATCATCTTTTTTTGATTCAATCATATCTTTTGATTTTTTGTTAAGATTTTAAAAAAAACACTTTATATAAAGATAGTTTTAATTTAATATATGTTAAAGCTTAAAGATATCATCATGGAATAGCGATCATAACTTCTAATCATATACTATTTGAGACAATATATTCATGTAACCTTTTTAGAAGTTTTATAAATAGGTCACAACAGGCCATAGACTATATTAGGGGCCCAATCTTATGGGGTTCCCAGAAGCCCAGCTATAGGTTAGAAAATGTTAAAGAAAACCACTCTACCCAATGGGACTCAGTGCTCAGTCTAGATCCCATTAAGCATCTCTGTGATGCTTAGTTTTAGTTCTCAAATGCTGGATTTGTGCCTCCAGGTATCAGGCAGACTAGGTTTTTTGGGTAGATGTGATATCTTTTATTAGATCAGCTAAATAGTTGGAAAAATTGTTCACAAGCTTTTGGGCACAAGCACCCTTCTTCAGGCCTAAGCTAGAGATAACGTCTTGTTAACAGCAGTATATGGAGATGAGAGAGAGCAGACCCGATTATTACCCACCCATCAGCCCTATTGTCTCTTTCAGATTTGTATACACACAATCAAGCCCTGGCCTCTCTCTAAAAGTGCAAAGTGTAAGAAGTTAAATGAATAAAGGATATTAAACAACAAGAATGCACTTTTGATAGGAAAGAATGATTAAATTGAGGCTTCCTGACACATGGTTTAAATAATGATTTAAATCAATTTGATTTAAATCAAATCCACCTTGGTGGAGCACAGCAAATACAAGGTCCCCCAAGGAGGAAAGGCACATCAACTCACCCTACACGTGGCAAGCTGGAAGCCTGAATGCCTCTTCCTGCCCTCTTCTCCATGACACTCATTTTAATCCAGGCCAATCCCCAACAAGAATAAACCCCTTCAAGAGAAGAACACAGTCAGAAGCACAGCCTAGGATCTTATGCTAGGTTAGTACTAATCTTCTGGGAAGGGCAGCGGCAATAACTCCCCTCTTGCACAGACACACCCCAGGTCCTTTGGGCTGATAATTAGGTGCTCTTACCCAGCCTAGACCTGCTGCTGCAGACTGGTAGCTGCTGCTTACACAGAAGAGGAACAGACACCAGGATCTGGCTAGTTTAAGAGGGTAGGGGACCTTCCCCTCTATCCAGCCCCAGACTGGGGGCACTGGCTGGCACATGGGGCCACTCCAACCCAGCCACACACACGCAGTGCCTAGGAGCTATTCTGCACATGAAAACAGTTTGTGGATTTCAGCCAAGGTTAGAGCACACAGGGATGCAGGTATGAACCTGGAAGAGGCAGCCAGAGATAAATAGCCCATAGGATACACATTCCTGGTCTGTGAGAGTGGGAAACAGATGAGAGAGGGGCTGGTGCCTTTTGGCTCCTGTTCCCAGTTGGGGCCTTCTGGCACGGTCCCCCTCCCCATCCTGTTGTGTTGGTGCCCAGAAAAGGGGCTGCTGAAGCTGGGAACTGCCCTAGCATTTCAGGATGCGGGTTTCCTTGTGAGACTATTTTTTAAAGCAGCAGACTGGTTTATAAGTGGTATGGGCAGAGGGAGAAACTGGGGAGCCAGGGAAGCTGCCATGTCAACATGGCTCATGACACTCATACCCTGACACATGTCCTGACACGGCTAGGCAGCTTGATCAGGGCCAGCACGATCCAGAAACCTCCTTCATAGCTGCTCACCGTTCCAGGGGAATCTGATACCTCATTTTCTTCCCATCACTTGTAGTCCCGCTGCCCAAGCGATTCACTAATAGGCTAATCAGAAGGCAGTGAATGGTAGTACAGTGAAAGCCAAGTTATCCAGCACCTTACAAGCCGGCATGCTCTGTTAACTGGGATGCCAGCTTGTAAGGGAAAAGTGAAACCAGAAGTTCCCACCGTGGCAAATCTGGTTTTGCGAAGCCCCCACGGCCTGGGGGAAAGCAGCCTGTGCTGCCAAGCCCCCACAGCCCAGGGCATAGCCACCTGTGCGGGTCTCCCCTCTCTGTCCCTTGGGGCCCACAGGAGGGGCGACGGCCCAAACGGGCAAAGACGCCTGTTCAGTCTGCTCCGTTAACTAGCATGTTTTGTTATCTGGCACCCTCCATTCCCTGTGGGTGCCAGATAACAAAGCTTTTACTGTACCTTGGCTGGGTAGAGGCTCTAAAATATCATCCCTCCCTGCCTTCTGCCTGACTTCAGACTAACAACGTTAACTACCTCTGTCTACTATCAACCAAACAGCAGGTAAGGGAGCCATCCTGACCATCATGTATATTAGGGTCTGGAATCTGCCCTGCTCAACTGCCTCAAGGTGCCACAGATAGGAAGAGACTATACTAGCTATTAAACATGCAAAGCAATCGGGCGCTGTGCCCAATTCTAACAGGGAAAGACATAAAACACAGTATATTGCTAAATTCTGGGAAGATCCAGGCAACTTCCCCACGGCGCCTCAGCTGGAAGACATGCTTGCTTTAATTGATTCTTTCTGGGATATTTTCCTGAGCTCGATGGAAGGACGAGCCACCAACTGGGCTACACATACAACAGTAGGAGAGGCTTAGTCTTCACATACAAATACCTTGGTGGCCAACTGACCACAGCAAGAGGTTCCTGTGCCAGCTTATGCCACTGGTGTGGGACAACACACCACTCCTGCCTCCAAGAGCCGCTCTAATTAAAGCGCTGCATCGTCTCATGTATCACTGTCCCCGCGCCTCAAAAGAGTGGTGGAGACACTTGAACTAAAGTTTGTTCAATGAGCTTTAGTTCAAGTGATCCTGCTGCCATTCTGAAGCACAGGGACGCTGATACACGAGACATGGAGGCTGGCTGGAGTGCAGTAATTACTATGCTCCAGCAGACTCAATTAATCAAGTCTTGTCCAACGCGGTGTAAGGGCAGCCTCCAATTCCCAGCAATCCCAACATTAACCTAATACACTCGGCAGACTTGACCCAGATCACCTTCCCAATGCAGTTCTTTGTAGGGCAGAGAGGAGCATCACTTACATGGTTTAAAGTTGACAATGCCTCCAAGGCTGGAGAGCCTGGCTCTTGGCCCTTTCCCTATCCTTTGTGCACTGGACAAAGAATTCCCCTGGATGCGCCTTGTTGCAGACCAGGAACAAGCTGACAACATCACTGTAAAAGCAGCAAGAAAGGATCCCTCTCTGTCTTGGCCTGCCACTCCTGGGAAAGAGAAGAGACTAGAAGACTAGAGAAGATAAGACTGAGAGGGGAATTAATAGCAACCTTCAGCTACCTGAAGGGGGGTTCGGAAGAGGATGGAGCTGGACTGTTCTCAGCGGTGACAGGTGACAGAACAAGAAGCAACAGTCTCAAGTTGCAGCAAAGGAAGCTTAATTAGATATTAGGAAGAATTTTTTCACTGGAAGGGTAGAAAAACACTGGACCATATTACACAGAGAGGTGCTGGCATCTCCATCTTTTTAAGACCAGGCTAGACAAGGCCGTGGCTGGGATGATCTAGTTGGGGCTGGTCCTGCTTTGAGCAGGGGGCTGGACTAGATGCGACCTCCTGAGGTCCCTTCCAGCCCTTATTTTCTATGATTCTATGAAAGAGGAAAGCCATGGCCCAAGGAGGTAGGTGTTAATGTATCTGGAGAGAGAAAGAGGAAATAAGAGAAAAAGAGAGCGAGACATTAACTAAAGGACTGAGGGGGTTCTGCAGAGTTGTGTGAGGCGAGGAACGGAGCTGAGATAGCAAGGAGGTTGCATGTCAGGATTGGGGGGCTTTGGTAGAACTGTATTGTAGGGTAGGCTGGGATAGCAGGACACTGTTGGAGAGGTTTAGGGGACACCAGCAGAGCTGGGTGTGCAGGGAACATAATGCTAGAAAAAGCAGTAGAGACTGCAGACTAGGATTGAAGAGATTGACAGGGCTAATGTTTTTGAAGCCCTCATCATTCAGCACTTTCCCTTGCCTATTGCAGGTGTGAGAAACTTCCCCTCTTCACCTCCCACCGCCCGGAACAGCCTCCTTGGATTTCTCTGTCACGCCAACTCGCCATTTGTTAGCAAACCTTGCCTGAAACCCCGCCCCTTCACCTCTTAATAACAGATGGAGGCACATTAAATCACTAAAGCCTTTCGAGATAATAATTTAAGCTAATTTTGCTTGCTGTGGTCATGATACACTTAGCACACCCAGCTGCCAAAGCATTTAGAAATGACAAACATACAATTCTGGAGCAATCAAGTCTTTTAGACCCAACACTGTAAAGTTACTAATGCAGAGGAGGTGGCTGATCTTGTAGTAGTAAACACTGGCCAGTCTAGTCAGGAAATCAGGATCAGTTCTCAGCTTTGTCCCAGATTCCTTGTGAGAGTATGGGCAAGTCAGTGAATCGCTTCCTTGCTGCCCCCCCCCCACTGTAAAAATGGGAAGAATGACCCTTCCTTCCCTACAAGTCTGTGATATTTAGGCCAAGATATCTGCAGGGCAGTCATTGGTCCAGGGGCAGGCAATTATTTTGGGCAGAGGGCCGCTTACTGAGTTTTGGCAAGCCATCAAGGGCCACATGACAGGCAGCCCAGGGCAGATAATTATTAATTTCCTAAATTTTTTAGGGGCCCCGTAAGCTGGAAAGAATGGCCTGATGGGCTGCATCCAGCCCCTGGGCCACATTTTGCCCACCCCTGGACTGGTCCTCAATTGCTTTGTAAAGGCTGTACCCAGGATATAAGAGCCTCTAGGTCAGCGGTTCCCAAACTGTACGTTGTGATCGCAAATGTGGTTGCATCATGAGCAGATGGGGTCATGGTAAACACATATCTGGGTTTTCCAGAGTGAAAAAAAATGCAAGAAAATGTGGGTTTCCCTTTGCAGACTGACAGAGTTCCAGCCTGCAAGGGGCTGCTTGGGGCTGGGGGGAGCAGGGGAGGGCCATCGGAGGCAGGGGGTGCCACATGCATGTGTGTGCTCAGTGGGCAGGACCTGGCACAGGAGGGAGTGCCGTGCCGTGCCATCACAGCCGCCAAAGTGAGGCACAACAGCAACAGTGGTGTGGAGTTGTGCCCCCCCTCCACTGCTACTGGGCGGGCAGGGGGCGCCTCACCTTGGCGACCACAGCAGCATGGTGCTCCCTCCCATGCTGGGGCCTGCCCGCTGAGCAGCGAAGCCCCCGGAGGGAGGGCAGCAAGGCGGGGAGCCCCAAGCCCACAGCAAGCAGTATGCACCCCACTCCCTCTCTGCCCAATGGGGTCTGCTCCGGCCATGCCACCCATGGGTGGGGGGAGCCACGCTTTGCACTCTGTTCTGGCTGCAGCTGCCACTGCCTCCCACAGGCAGCAGCCAGGGGGGGGGTGCTATTGGGGGGTGGACAGGGGGCTGCGGGCCCTAGCCCTGGAGCACCTGGGGGGTGGGGGACTGTGTGTTGGGAGTATGAGGCCATGCTGAGGAAATGGGGTCATGTTGAGGAAAAGTTTGAGAAGCACTGCTGTAGGTCCTGCCATGCATACAGAATCCCATCTTGTATTTCTAGAGTGCTCTTCCATCCTAAAGCTATCCCAGCCATGCCATCATGTGCAGGACAAATCATTCCAGCACTTAGAACCCCCAAAGTGCCATCATACAGCACTGCTGCCTGAACAACCACTAAGTAACTACTAGCTAGGGCAAGTGAATTAAAAAAAAATATATATACACATACAGACAGACACACACACACAAAATACAAAATATATGCAGTCTAAATCTGCCACTGCTTTTGAATAAATCCATCCATATCCACCATCCCCCGAACACCCCCCCCCCTTCAAAAATTAATTTTACAAAATGAGAGACGTTTGAGACTACTGGAACAGAATATTCTCTTAGACATGTTCTAGGGCTAGTGACATGAAAAAACAGCACTAGCATTAAAGAAATTCATAGATGGATTTGAAAACACATCTCTTGCTCCCATGGTAAGGCTTAATAGCCTAACTTTCAAGATCTACAAGCACTCTCAGCTCCTGTTAAAGCATGGAGGTAATCAGAAGCAGAGGTGATAAGTAGAAAAGGAGAACAAGCTTTGACCGAACACATTATTTAGTGCTGCCTCCCTATTTCTGTAAAGAAAGACTCTTACTTTCTTATCAACACTGTGCGGGGTTCAAATTTGAAGTCCACTACACAAAATACCCTCTTTGGTTTTTATTCTATTACTGTTATTATTAGGTACTGAGAAAGAGAAAAGCCTGGGGAATGTGCGTACTCCTAGCCACCAAACCCCCCTCCCCCCCACCCCAATAATCCCCCAGTAAACTATTTCCATCTCGGGCAAGATAAAGCTCAAACACAATCAGATCTCAGCAGCCCCCACACACTGTAGGATGGATGAGCCTTATTACATGGGATATCAACTGCAATACAACCTCAGGGAAGGGGGCATGCATGGGCAGAGAAATGGGGTACAGAGCTTTTCCCTAAACTATTGCTCTAATTAACATTATTTCCATCTGATGCTCAGTCACTTGTTCATGAAACAAGCAGGTATGGCCTCAATTTAGATCCTAACAGGGATGCACTCTACAGTAGCTTGCACTATTGTCATTTTCAGCAATCAAATCAAAGGTTCAACAAATGACCTTGAAATTTCTTCTCATCCATCTAGTACACCAATTCAAAGGGCTGGGGATATCAGTGTGCACAGATGTAGTTGGCAGTATTGTTACCCAAGATGTATCCAAAGTGGAGAGGAAGACAGACAGAAGCCTTTTTATGCAAGACAAGCGACATCCAATGACAGAAAAGATGACATATTTTGATTGCACAGTGCAAAGCAGGGGGGAATTAAACCTGCTGTCACTGTTCTTCTCCAGCAAAACCACCCTACCAAGTTAGCTGCAACACGGTGCTGGATTCTCTAGTGAGGCATATCCCAGACAAGAGACAACTTTAAGTCAGCCAGGCAGGCTGGGCGGGTGGGGATGGGGTCATTAGCAGGCTGGGGAACAAAACCAGAGCCCAAAGTGCCACTGATGGGATATTTCAGCAAAGAAGATTGTAAAACTGTGCCTCCTTGGAACAAACCACTGGGCCCATCCCCTTCAAGTGCTCCAGGACCTCATGTGAGCAAAATGGGACTATCTAGAGCAGTGGTTCTCAACCTTTTTAGATTTGAGGCACCCCTCAGGAAATGCCAGCTCTTGCCTTTCACTTGTTTTTTAGCTACAGAAAAATAATAGAGCAATTCTTCTGTTGCAAGTAACTCAGAAAGACCCAAACAGGTCAGAATGTTCTCAACACTATGGATTCCTATGTGAAATCTGTGGGTTTATATCTTGTGAATCAAGTTTGTACACCTTACAGTGCTAATATTATGTGGCAACCCATGGCACCCTTGAAAGGATCTTAAGGCCAGGGTACCAAAGAAACCCAGTTGAGAATCCTGATTTAAAGAAATAGAAGCATCCACTCCCATCTGTCCAGCAGTGAACACACCAGGGGAAAGCACAACACATCACACACCTAGCTGTGCAATATAATTCCATGGCAGGACAGCTGTCAATCATCTTATGCCTCAAACCCCAGAGGGGCCTATTGCTGATGTGTCTTAGAAATGCTTTGCTTATTCCTAGAAACATCTCCAATCCTTCAATTTACAAAGCCACTGGTCTCGAAATCCTGCAGCAGCAGCAACATCCATCGATTACCCATCCAAATAGGTTCCTTTAAAAGGCAACACATCATCGTTTCCCAGATCTTTTGCCAAGAGTCTCTATTGCAGGCTAAAGGACAAGAGATTGGAAAGAGCAGGAAGAAAAAACTTAGCATCTTTCCTAAGTTAGAAAGTACATCATAAACAAGCCTCACCTGATCTGTTCTGGCTCGGGGGATTGGTGTATAAGTGTCTGGCTCTCTCCTGGGGGAGGGGGGTCTCCGGGTTCCCCCCTCCCCCTTCCAGAGCCCTGTGTGAAGACTCAGTGCAAGAGAAGAGAAGGAACAGGTCTCTCCAGCCACTGAATAACTTGTTTGGCTCCCCGTTTTCCAGCCTGAAGCAAACACTCTCACTGCAAGCTTTCCCCCCTGCAAGAGACAGGCGAGTTTTGTACTTGTCTCCCCAGCCCGGAGGGAACTTCAAGCACCTTCCAAGAAATATCAAGACATTGTGGCCTTGTGGGTCTCTGGGGAAGAGGACAGAAGTGTAGGTGTGTGCCTGGCTTTTACTGTTCCCCGCCGATGTCACTCCAGGTTGCCTGCAGGCCAGGCTGTACCACTGCCATAATTGTTCAGTTGCTCTACTTGTCCTCACACATCTGTGTCTCCAGAAAGCGGTTGCTTGCAGGCCACAAGTCAGTGTCCCTCTATGCACCACTGTTTTCAGGCGCAAGCCAAGCTCCTGATGTCCCGTCTTGTAAGAGCCCTTCAGCTCCTGGTCATCTACTCCTGCCACTGGGAAGCAGGTCTGGTGTTGTGTCCTTGTCTCTGTTCACGTCCTCTTTAGCTAGGGTCTTGGCTCTGTATAACACATACACTTGTATTAGAAAAAGGCTCATGTCCCCAGCTGTTCCCCATGAAAACTGACAAGCTCACCTTACCTTCCCATTGGCAACAGAAGATGAGTGCCACCTAGACCCGCTTCCCTTGGTCCTGCTCCTCTCCCTGCCACACGCACGCAGAAGCCCAAGTCTAGCTGGAAGTCATCTTTCTGCTCTCTATTCCCACCCGAGTCCCAGCTACTCTCTCGCAGCCAGGGCCGACCAGAGTCACGCTCTCAACAGCTTTCCCTCCCGGGGTCCATGCAGGACATGTTCCTTCCTCGCCCCCCTTTTCCCTGGGTCAACCTGCACCGCACCCCTCTCCGTAAGGGTACCTCCGCCCCGTATCTCCCCCAACCCACTGCTCCTACGCCACATGCACCCAGCCTCCCCCTCCCCCAAGTGGCCCATTCAACCCAGTGTCTCCCTCCACATCCACTCTTGTTCCTGCTGCCACGAGACCCCCCCCCCCCGGCCAAGCCTCTCTCCTTCCTCACCGCGGGGACCCCCCGCCAGGCCCCTCCCGGCCTCTGCCCGTCCCCGTCGCTCTTGCCTGCCTGCTGCGTCTGCCAGGAGCGGGAGGGGAGCCTTCCTCCTCGCCCCTGCCTGGGGGGGGGAAGGGGCATCTCCTCCCGTCCCGTCCCGCCGGGATCCCGAGGCGGCGGCGGCGGCTCCCCCCCCCCGACCCGACCCGGAGCGGCCACCAGGTTCCAGCCACTTCCGCCTGCCGCCGCCGGAAGCGAACCCATAGCAACCGAACGTCCCGCCCCGCGCCCCCCGCCGGGCCCCGCCCCCCGCTCCTCCTCCTCTGGCTGCACTCGCGATGGAGCGAACCATTCGGGATGCGGGGGGGGGGAGCGGGAACCCTGCTTGCAGAAGAGACGCTAGTTTGACTTCAAATTGATTGGCTGAGCCGCTTTCTATTCCGTTGAGGGCCTTTGTCCTGAAGCATTCCTCTCGCTTTGACCTTTTGACAGTTATTTGATGCGCCCTCTCCTTCCCCCCTTTAAGTGGAATGGGCTCTTCCGCCTCCCAGTCAAGAGCGGGGGCTGGACCGTCCAATTCTGTCCCTGATGGGGGGCTGTAAATTCACTTCATGTCTCCGACAGGAATGAGAGGCTATTCCTCCTCCCCGCGCTGTGACGTGCCCCTCCCCTTTCACCATATCAACGCAGGCGGGAGACAGAGGCTTTCATCATTTCTTCCCCCATCCCCCCCCCCCCGCTGGTGGAAATAGTCTGACCCTGAGGGCCGGAGAGATGCGAGGGAGGAAAGCCCCGGCTCCACCTCCGCAGCTCTGACCACGCCCCCTCATGCAAACTCCGCCCCCTTTCCAGGACCCCCTAGCTCATTTCTGACTTCACTCCGCTTCTCCTGCCCGCTCTTGCTTGCCCTGCTGGTCCTTCCCCTGCCTTCACCGCCTTTCCCTGCACCTAGCCCCCGGCAGCCTTGCATGTGATCATGGTTGTGCCTGCACACGTGTGTACATGTGCATGTGCATAGCTTCAGTGGGGACAGGGGCAGGGCCCTAAGCCAAATCCCATAGTACTGTCCACTGGACCCAAAGAGCATTGCCAGTCTCCAAATGCCTGCCACCAGGTTGGCCAGGTGGGCTTCTAGCTGCCCAGCCCTATGTCTCTGCCTGGTCAGGTGCTTTGCTGTATTAGTATTGTTACCATTATTGTTGTAACTGTTATCATATTGCAATCTATGACTTTTGTTACACACACACACACACACACACACACACCCTTCCCAGTGTGAACATGCATGTGCAGACACGCCTTTCTAGTGTTAAGACCAGAACACACACCCACTCACTCCCCAGTGTTAAGACCAGAACTCAGGAGGCCTGACTCTCAGCCAGTGTTGTCAACTCTGCTTATAATAAGTGGAATTGGGCCTGGTTTTTTTTCTGTTTTTTTAAAGTTGCTTTACTTTTTTGAGAATTGCAGCACCTCCACATTCCCTTTCTTTCAAATGGGTTGGGTTTGTTTTTAAAGGCAGTGTCGCTTTTTTTTCTTGCAAGATTTGGCAACACCGCCCTCAGCTCTTCTGTGTGCTCTAACCATTACATCTCCTTCCTGTCATAGACCTACAGATAGCACCCGAGAATCCTCCCAGTGCCATTGCTCCAGCCCAGTGGTTCTCAACCTTTTTTTTTATAGATTCATAGATGCTAGGGTTGGAAGGGACCTCAATAGATCATCGAGTCCGCCCCCCTGCATAGGCAGGAAAGAGGGCTGGGTCTAGATGACCCCAGCTAGATGCCTATCTAACCTCCACTTGAAGACCCCCAGGGTAGGGGAGAGCACCACCTCCCTTGGGAGCCCGTTCCAGACCTTGGCCACTCTAACTGTGAAGAAGTTCTTCCTAATGTCCAGTCTAAATTTTTGTATCATGACCCATTTGTAAACATCAATGACCAGTCCCAACCCAGTGCCCCTCGTTCCCGACCAGCTTCCCGCCAGGCCCCCAGGGTGTGGGGCAGGGGCTGAGTGTGTGGGGTGGCGCGGTGTGGGGCATGGGGGGGAGGCCCAAGCAGCCCCTCGCAGGATGGAACGCCGCCAGCCTGCGGGGGAAAAGCCACAGTTTCCCATGGTTTCCCTCTTTTAAAGGAGAATCCATTTTTAAAGTTTGTTCGCAACCCTTTCATGTATTGTTGCGACACACTTTTGTGTGATGACCCACAGGTTGAAAAATATTGGTATAGCGATTATGGTTATTGTCTTGTAACTGCTCTCATATTGTAATATATAATTTTAGTTAATGGGAATTAAATGCAACCCCCACCAAACTTCCCAGTGTTAAGACCAGAACCCAGGAGGCTTGATTCCCAGCTCTTCTACTTGCTCTAACCATTACAGCTCCTTCTGTCATGGACCTAAGGACAGAACCCAGGAATCCTCTCTCCTAGTGCCATTCCTTTAGCCATTTCACCTGCTTCCTCTGCTACCTTTCAGATGCATACAAGGAGCAATTCCCTGCTAAGCAAGCCTAACCATCCCAAAGTAATCTGCAGGTCCTTTTCCAAATAATGCAAAGGTCACACACTAGACAAAAAATCCTTTGCTAAGCACTTTCTCGGGCATGGACTTTGTTTTCTCCTAAACTGGAATGTAAATAAGATTATTCAGGCAAATTCTAAAAGTCACAGTAGCAAGGGATCACGAGTTTCCATGCACCTGCATATTTCTCCACGTGCCTCAGAGATTATTGTCCAGCCCTGGCAAAAAGCTGGTTCTAGGCTTCTAGGGCATTTTTAAAGAGCTAGACTGATTTGCAGCACAGACCCGGCATCTGGCAGAGAATTTCATTTCTATTCCTTTTAGCTCTGCATTTATTCTGCATGTATCTCCATTCATGTGTGTTTGCTGTAGTGCATGTTTGCTGCATATACAGTATTTACCAAATTTATGGCATCTGTTTGCTGAACGTGCATATCTTATCTGAAGGATGTACAATCCTGCTTGCTGCTTGCATAGCACATGTGCTACATCACGCGGCAGGGAGGCTGCAGACATAGTATATGTTTATTATCCCTATACTCTATGTTAGTTGAATGAACCATTCTTGCCAAATGTGTACATGGTCTGCTCACTGTATACATAAGGCCTTTCCTTGACAAATGGAGTACCTCCTATTTGCAATATTACTATATATATTTACTATGAATAATGTCATTTGCAGACATTATCTGTGTTTGTTATTTTTATGTGCCACTTCCTCAAATGGCTCATGTTATCTACCTGCAGAGTGCGTGTTTGCAGCATTGTGCAGCAATGGAGAGAGGCCCCTGGGCTGCCAGATGGATGACCCCATTGTAGACCATTACAAGAGGGATCCAGAACCCTCTGCAACACACTCCAGGACAATCCGGAGAGCATGACACAGAAAGCAAATAAAGGTCTTCCCTAGCTTGGGCATCCTGTCAATTTAGATCTCTTCAATAAACCATTGCTTTGATCATGGGTACTGGCTGCTTTGCAGCTTCAAGAGCTGGGAGCTCTTTCTGCAGGCTCCAAACCTCACTAATAGGAATCACATTTGCTTCCTTAGCAGAAAGCAGAAGCGGCAAGAAAATAAGGCAGGTCTTACCCACTGCTTGGTTCTCCACTAGTGCTCAAAAGGACTCACGCCTCCTTCAAACAGCAGAAGGAGCCATGCTCCTTTTGCCAGGAGAAAGCCATTCTCTTGCAGTTACATAATGGCTTTGTGTGCAGTGCAAAGCTCTGATGTCTACATGCAATGGAAGGATGCCCAGCTCTCTGCCATGACTCATCCATGTGGGCCGTCATGCTTCCTCCAGAAAAACAAATACAGGGCAGTTGGCAGCTTAGTAACCGGAATGCCAAAGGTTGGCTCAGGCTAGTACACACATACTCCCACATAAAAGACCTTTTCTTGAGAATAAAAAAAGAAAAAAATCCTGAACTGTAATGAACTTCTAATACTTAAGAACTCATTGTCTACGTAAGTCCAGATTTTGTAGAAAAGCTGCTTCTCAGTCACAAACCTAGCCTCTCACTGCTTAGGGCAATGTCACCGGTCAGCTTTACAAGGGGAACCAACATTAGGCTTATAAAGCAAATTTAAATGGAACCTTAACAGCGGTGAATCACTCTCACAGTACTTTGGATAGACCCAAAAGGCCTGTTCTCCAGATGGGATGAGCACCCGCAGCTTCTATTGACATCAGATGGAGTTGCAATTATTCAGCATGCTACAACCAAGACATTCAATTCTCTCTTCTTGGATACCAGTGATTTCTAAAACTGTCATCAGCTCCAGGGACTGAGCCTGGAAATTTCTGTTTGGGACCTGGCCAAATACATGGAAGACTGAAATATCTATGCCTAATGACACCAACAAGCATAAGGCTGTGAAGTCCCTTATTTATAAGGGGTAAATCTGCCCTGTCTTCTGCCTAGCTTCGATTATGTGGCTAACTATCTCTTGCTGACAAACATTGCATAGATGGGGTTGACTGGAGGGAAGCGAGGCAGCCTGAGTTAGTTTTGTTTGGGGGAAAGAAAGGGCAGCTTAGAGGGCAGAAGCACTAGGGCGGCCCTTGCTCTGAAGCCATGTAAAGGTTGAATTCCAGTGAATGCCAGAGCCAGGCAGTATTTGGAAATCCTATTGAAGGTTTTGCTGAAACAAACTCTCATAAGCAGCTGCAAAGAGCTTTTAAGCTTAGAAGGGATCTTGGACCCTTTTCATCAAGTGAACCTAGAAGTGAATGTGTTACTGTCTCCTTTTAGTGTCAGAAAAGTTAAGCTAATGAAATCTGGCTAGAGATTCTTCATTCATTTGATGTACCTGCTTTAAATGAAATCTGCAATATGTCACAATTTCTCAGCTACTGGAAATCAGCCTAGGTCTGTATATGGCATTCAAGTATGTTTGTCAGTTTATACCTGCTGAGAACCAGCCCCATGTGAGGCATAAGCTTCATCTCTATTATTAATGAAAGATGAGACTTAAGGAACACAGAAATGGCAATGTAAGGTAGACTGTAAAGAAGGCAGCTTGCTTCTGCACTATTTATGTGTTATCTTAAAGCAATTTCAATAGATGAAATGTCACTTTAAACACTCCAAGAAAAAGCAAAAGCTCAAAAACCTTAACTTTGGCTCAGAAGACAGCTTTCAGTGAACATGTTACTTCTCTTTCTGAGTTCTGTAATCTTACTACTGAAATACTGAGAACATTAGAGCTG